AAATGTGACCACAGATTAACTGCTAATAACCAAATGTGTCCGTGTGTATGTGTTTCTCTGTGTGTTCACAAGTATGGGCTAGAAGCAGATGATCACACTTGTTTTTTAAATTATTTTTTCCCCAAAAAATCTAGTTTAACTCTTGTCAAAGATCCTGATCAGTCTCTTCTTGAAGGAAAAAAACCCACAACATATTCTTCTTTTCCCAGTTGATAGAAACAGTGACCACCGGGAGTTATATTTAAGCTTGAAAACTTCAACAAGCTTGGATATTTAAGCTTGCAGTGGAATCATTAATCACCATGCACATTGCTGAACAGATAACCAGCTCAACTGATTTGGGGCTCATATAGCTATAAAAAGAAGCATTCCTCTTTGTTTTATCCACAAACATATTTCTGTGTAAAGGTTTGTTTCTTTGCAATCCCTATAATTGGTACCGATGTTAAAAACATTTATATTCTTACACTCTGAGGGCTGAACACTCTAATTGGTGCAGCCTGAACCAGACCCAAACATGGGAGACGTGGGCCAGGGAGGCAGCAATCTTCCCACACTTTCTTTTTTGCTGGTTTAAAACCCACCAGGGACCTCACAGAAACCTTACCTATAGCAACTGCTGGAGAGCCTCATAAATGTAGCTGCTCCCAAAGCCCTTGGCACTCAGACCTCACTAGCTGGTGCCACGTGTCCCTTCTCCCTCACAGAGGAGTCTGGTTAGTGTTTGCTGCAAGGCATAGCCATGTCTCTCTCAGCATGCTCATTTCTCCAAAGGCTCTGCCCCATCGCTCGGGCAAAAGAGTCAGCTGAGCTTAATTTAGCCTTAAATATAGTGATAGTCTCAGTATTTTCCTTTAAGATGTAATTCATTAGCTGCTTTTACCTGACAGAGCTCTTTTTTGCCTATTTTATTCAGTAAGTTCCTCTTTTTAATTTGGTGAGTCAGGTATTGGACAGTTGCATATTTCTAGTGCCCTAGGAAACAGAGGGAGAAAAGGACATAGGCCTCTATAGCATATCAAAAGCCTGAAAGAAGTTATGTTAAACATTAATTTGAAGTTGGTCATAAAGTCACAGGAAGTGCTGGATCTAACGCCTGAACAAAGATTAAAAAAAAAAAAAAGGCACAAAACCAGACTTGCAAGTCACAAAAGCCAAACAAAGTCAGCAATGGTACAACCAGATGAGTTTCTACACACTCTGTGACTACTCTGAATGCTGCACTGTTTATTTAGGTAGTGAATTGGCTGCTGCATTAGAATATATGCTTTTCCTGAAACACTATAGTTCTACTCTGACCTGAAGGAGAAGCACACCAGACATGCCACCAAGCCCTGCAGAATATTCACAGGTTGCAGTCCTGAGCTGCTGGAGGCCAACAACTACCCACTGGAGGACTGTGCCTTCAGAAAGAGGCAAACCAGCAGGACCTCTGCTCTGGTACCTCACAGATGATGCTGCCATTCATCTGCGTGGGCTGATGATATGATGCCTCCACTCCCCCACGTAACCTGGTCAATCACAAGTTTTTATTGCCATGAAAGCTTTGGATCCACAAAGGACTAGGGCACTCAATGTGCTCAACTTTGACTTTAGACACAGAACCATAGCTCTCCTGTGCTCTGCTGTCATCCCACCGAGGAGGAACGCAGATCCCTCTGAACAACCCCTAAAGGTTGTTGTTCAATCACTCGCAGAAGTACCTTATGCTTAGCAGGACGTTATTGTTCACATGTCCTCAGGCCAAAGCAGAATGAGCCTTCACAAACCATAATCCTTCACCTCTTTAATCTGTGAGAAGTTCTTTGACACACTTGATACTCCTGCTGCGGGAGGAACAGAAATTATTATGAGCAATGATTGTTAGCACTGCCATCAGGGACTTTAATTCAGCTTCCACCTCCAGCTGATGAAGTCTTCATCCTTACTTCTTATTTTATAGAAAAATGGTCATTCTACCAGTGTAGGGGCTACTTAACAGCAGGGGATTTCCACACAAATATGAAAGACAAATATGAAATTTGTCATTATTATTGCCAGTTGTCTCAGGAGAGAAAAAGACAAAACTTTTTTACAAAACTCTGAATTTTAGTTGGTAGGGGACATTCCGGTTCAAGGCTGCAAATAAATAGTTTATAATAAAAGGAAAAAAAGTTGAAATGACAATTAGCAGCAAAGTGGATGTTAGTTGTATCCAGTTAGCACTCTAAACATTATGCAGCAGACTATTATTTTGCTCTTCTGGTACTAAAATTGTAACTGAATTGTAACCTGTGCCTGTAAAACCTGTAGTGGAGGAAACAACTGTGTGCTTGCAGCTGCCACGCCAAGGATTATTGATCTGTTCCACAAGGAGTGGAACAGCCCCACAGCTTGCCTGCTAAGGCGCTATAGTGAGAAAAGCGGGTTACAGCACCTTCAGGCAGAGGAGGGAATATGCTAGGAGAAGGCATTAGCCCCTGAGCTGTAGGATACAAGGGATTTTTAAGACTTTGAAATGAAGAACTGAACCGTGGGAGCTGTGAATCCTCAAACGAAGGTGGCACCCCTTGGAGACCAGATATGAGCAGCAAAAGCTGGAACCACCGCAAGAATAGCAAAAGTTGTTCACAACAGCTTCTGATAAAAAGAAGGGTAAAACTTTTCAAGGAGTGACACTTTCCCAGCAGTTTCTGGCCACTATATTCTTATCTTCATATTTTCTTATCACAAGAATTTATCAGGAAAAAACCCAGGCTGTTCTTTTGCTTTGGCTTCTGTTGGTTCATTAGTGTCTGAAAAAATATTTTTTTGTGTGTTTTATTTCACAGTCTCACATAACCTTGGAATTTCTGATGATAAAAACCTGTGACACTTGTTTTTCTGGTACTAAAACCACACCCCCTGACCTGTAACCTATGGCTATAAAACCCATAGCAGGGGAATTTAAGAAGAGAAATTACCAAGCAAAGTACCACTGAAGTTCTCATTAAATTAGAGAAGATGGGTTTTGCCCAGCCTCAAGTTAGATCTCAAGGACCATGGCCATTCCTGGGATTATAACCCACTGTTATAGTTGCTCCAGAATAACACAGCCTACAAATGGTTTTTCCACATCACCTTTGCAGAGTAGAGAGGAGGGAGCATCACAGCATATGGCACCACATCCACTGAAATGCTGTTTGGACCAAGTGGCAGAGCATCCCTTAAAATAGATGTGAGTTGGCAGGTTTGGCAGTCACAAAGGCATAGTAAAAGGAGAGATTTAAGCAGATCACAAAATACACCACAACTCCTATCCATTGTGCAGTTTTTGGAGCGTTCTCAAGGAAGAAGAGGATTAAATGGGCAAATGCTTTTAAATATTCTCTCATGCGAAGGAATGGAATTAGGCCCACAAAAGTAATTTGCTTGGAATATTAACCTGGGAAATGGGAGATATGTTTGAACTCCCTTGTGGCAGAAAAGAAACTGAACCTGGGTCATTTACAACCTGATTATCCTAACCATGAGTAATTTTAAATAAAAAGAGGGAACTGGGATTTCTTCTCCAGCTGTGCTTGTCATAAGGCTTGATCTTATAATTGTGCTCTTAGGATATCTACAGGATGAGACAAGTAGGAATTGGAATGAGAAAGGTAGATGAACAACTTAAATTTTAAATATATGGAGAGTTCAAAAATATCTAATGTATATGCTATAAATTAACATGCATTCATTTCAAACTTGAAGAATGGCTTGTGTAATGTAGAAACTATATGAAAATTTATTACAATTATCTCACCTAAAGACTACATTCTGTGGCCTAGGTATTTAAATGCTCAACCCTTTATCTAGTCAGATGCTATGTGAATTGACCCACCTGAAGCTTCACCCTGCCCTAGACAGGTTGGCCACTGTATCTCTCTTCGTGCTTTCTCAGGCACTGGAATATTGTGTTGCAGGACACAGACCTTAGGCAACACCTTAGCTGCCTAAAGACTTTGGCTATGTATAGGATCGTGTGAGCAACAGGTGTGTTCCCCCAACCCTGTAGTAAATAGAAGAAAGGAAATAAAACATGTTCTGAGAATCAAGGAAATTAGTGGAAACGCTGCAACATTTATAAATATAGTTTTTTGTGAGAGGGTGTTTCTGAAGCTGCACAAACTCACACTGATGGAAAATATTAGGAAGCAGGGAAAGGTGAAATCAGAATCTGAGCAATGTCCTTTTCTACCTTATCAAAACAGACTTTTTATGTCTGCCCCTTCTATAGGTTTGTTTCTTTTTTTGGTTGGGATTTTTTTCAGTAGATTGTGCCACAGGACGGCAGCCATTGGTGAAATGGAGGTAACATGGACTCGGGTTGTTCTGAACATTCAGTTGACATGGGAGTCAACCACAGCCAACACCTACCTGTCTGTCTGTTTTCTCCCCGGCTCCACTCAGCCAGCAGGTACGTCTCACCTGAGAGCTCAGTTTGAAAACAGTGCAGAGTTGTCCATAGCAAAACCCTTGCGAACTAAAAAAAAAGACAGGGATGTTGTTTGCTCCAAGTCTGTCGTGGGCAATAACGTGCCATGGCCACGCACCGCCTGGGTTTGGAGACCATCCTGCCTCCTTGACTACCCAGCCTTCAGGGGCGATTGCTCCCTGCCTAGCTGTGCCAGTCATCATTTCCCCCCAAGGGCCTATGGGAAGAGGAGTGAATAATAAAGACTGGATTATCTATTTGAAAGAGATTGGTTTACATTTTGCATGAAAGTTTTCATATTTTTGTAAAAAATAAGCCTCTTTACCCTTCCCCTTTTCAGACTCCAATCATATTCCGCTGAGGAAGTCTGTGTTTTATTTCAGTGCTGTGAAATTAACTTTATATTCAAATAACCCCTTTCACACTTAGAAATTCTTGGATTGCAAACCGTAGGGAACTCAAGGGTGTTGGCATGAGTGGCTAGGTGTGGCAGATCCCTCCTCCCGGTGAAACACTTGAGAACTAAAAAAAAAAAAGAAAAACCACAAAAAAAACCCAGACAAAATTTATTTAAAAAAAGACAAAATTTATTTTAGAAAGAGCAAGGACCACTGGACAGGCACAAAGCCAGTGCAGCCTAACCGGGATCAGTGGGCTCAGGCCTTTCTGGGACCGCCCAGGCGAGGAGTCCCAAACAGCTGCTGGATGCTGCTCCTGTCACCTGTGGACATTCACAGAAACACTGAACAGGTCAGGCTGGAAAGGACCTCAGTGGGTCACCTGGGCCACCCTTCCTGCTCAAGCAGGGTCACCCCAGAGCACATGGCACAGGATTGCATCCAGAGGGCTCCTGAGTATCTCCAGTGGGGGAGACTCCACAACCTCTCTGGGCATCTGTTCCAGTGTTCGGTCACCCACACAGTAAAGATGTTCTTCCTCATATTCAGGTAGAACTTCCTGTGTATCAGTTTCTGCCCATTGCCTCTTGTGCTATTGCTTGACACCACTGAGAAGAGCCTGGATCCATCCTCTTAGCACCCTCCCTTCAGACACTTATAGTCAGTGTGAGGTCCCCTCTCAGTCGTCTCTTCTCAAGGCTGAACAGGCCCTGGTCTCTCAGCCTATCCCTGTAAAAGAGAGGCTCCAGTCCCCTCATCATCTTTGTTGCCCTCCACTGGACCCACTCCAGGGGCTCCACGTCTCTCTTGCACTGAGGAGACCAGAGCTGGACACTGCACTCCAGATGTGGCCTCACCAGGGCTGAGCAAAAGGGGCAGGATCAGCTCCCTCGGCCTGCTGGCAAGCTGTTGCTAACACATTCCCGGTACCCCTGCCTCCGAGGCGCTCCCGGCGGGACGGCGCCGCGCTGCCATGGCAACAGGGGCCGCCACACCCCGGAAGAGATGGCGCGCGCCGGCCCCGCCCCCCCCGCCGCTCCGTCGGGCGGCCCCGCGCGCCGAGGGTGACGACGTGTCTCGCGCGCGCGCGAGGGGGAAGCCGGAAGCGGCGCGGCCGCGTCAGGGCGGGCGCGCGCGGGGGGAGAGACGGAGGCGCGGCCCCGCTGCCGCCCAGCACCGCCGGGCCCGGCCCGCCATGGCCCTGCCGCCGCTCCTCCTCACGGCCGCCGTGCTGGCGGCCGCCGCCGCGCCCGCCGCCGCCTTCTACCTGCCAGGCCTGGCGCCCGTCAACTTCTGCGAGGCCGGCAAGGAGAAGCCCGAGTGCAAGGTGAGCCCGGGAGGCGCCGAGCGGAGGCCCCTGGGGCCGCCCGGGGTGCGGCTCGGCCCCGGTGTTGTTCCCCTGCGCGGGGGCTGCGTGGTGGGTTTTGCCCGGAGCGTTCGCAGCCGCTCCGCGATGCCGCACCGGGGCTCCCGACGGCGCCGGGGCTGCGGGGGCTCGGAGGGTGGTCCAGTTCCCACTGCGCTCACAGGATAGTTCGGGTTGGGAGAGATCTCTGGAGATCACCCAACCCCTCCGCCAAGGCAGGGTCACCTAGAGCAGGTGACATAGGAACATGTCTAGATGGGCTTGGAATGTCTCCAGAGAGGGCGACTTCACGACCCCCCTGGGCAGTCTGTTCCACTGCTCTGCCACCGTCAATGTAAAGCAGTTCTTCCTCGTGTTGAGATGGAACTTCTCGTGTTTTAGTTTATGGCCATTGCTCATTGAAAATGAAATTCATGAGACATGAAATTCACCACCCAGGGGAGTGGTAGAGCTGCTGTCCTGACTCCTGGCTCAGCTCCGGCCCTGCTGGAAAGTGCCTGCGGTCCCTCCGAGGGAAGGAGAGGGCTGTCGGCTCACCCCGTGAGTTACGGCCACGTTGGGGAAGTAGGAAGCCCCGGCCGTTCATCTCTCGGGCCCTTTCAGATCCTTATAGGAAAGGTGCAGTGAGTAAGGAAGGTCGTGTCGGGGGGTGTGTGATTCTTGGCAGGAGCGAGCAGCTGGTGGCTGCGAGCAGCTGGCAAACTAGAGTAAGCATCCAGTGACGCTTTCCTTTGCTCTGTCTTCCGGGCAGCCGGAACCTGAACTGTAGGGGCTTCTAGGCCCCAGAGTCTCAAGTGAAGCTTAAACTTGGTTTTATGCTTGCAGAAGTAAGAAGCAAAGTTCCCATAACCCGATTACTTGTTTGGTGGATGTCGATGGGTCAGGAGTCTGTACTTAAAATAGTCTTTGCTGCTTTGGGGCACGTTTTGAAGTTTTTTGCTGCTGCTGTGATGGAGATTACACCAGACTGTTCTATAATACTTGAAAGAGAAAGTTCAAGACCAATCAATTTAATGATCCATGGTCTAACTGCTGTGGAAAGTGGATGTCTTGCACTTTCTGAGCTCTCAGCTCCTGCAGTACATGAAACACTGGTCTGTGATTCTCCAGAATATGAGCCTGTTTAAACTGTATGCTTTTGGTAAATGTGCTTACTTTATCCATTTGCTATCCTGAATCAACAGATTAGGTAATAAGCCAAACATGTAATGAAGGTGCTTTGGTTGTAGTAGTAAAGCATTCTGTGGACATTCTTTTATAGGACCACAGAAATGGTGAGACCTCAGGAGGTCACATATCGCAGCCTCATGCTTGAAGCACAACTGTTGTAAACACTAGGTCTGCTCAGCTCTACCTTTGTTTAAGCCAGCCTTGGAAACATCCAAGCATGGAGCATCCATCTCCTCCCTTGGTGACCTATTATGGTGCTGCAGTACCCTCTTAAGGAATGTTTTTTCTTCAAATACAGGCTAAGACTTTTAAGCTGCAGTTTGTATTTTTTCACAACATCCTCGAAAAAACATTGCTATGTTTGGATTATTCCTGTTTTAAGCTTGTAGAAGAACGATTTATGTTTTTAAGTCAGGTGAACCAGGGTGCCTACTGTCTTTTGTAACCAACCTGAGTCACATATGGGGTGACCTTTCTCAGATGTCTCTGCATTTTTATTCCTCATGTAATGTGTACAAAATGTTTGTCTCCTCCTGAGAATTTATCATTTAGTAAATGTGACGTGAAGTACTTGGGTAATGTAAATGTGCCATTGGTGGGCAACCGAGCACCCCAACAGGTGTAATATTGCAAATATTGGCCACCTCTTATCAATTTACGTACTAAGTGAAACACAGGCATGTGGAGAAGTCTAAATCACTCCTCACATATGGTTCCCTCCATGTAGTCTGCAACAGAATGTAGTCTGGTGAGGAGAAACAATAAATGGTCACATAATTGCTATATCATAGTATTTATATAAGTGAGTGAAACTGAGCTTTCCTGGACAGCCGTCTTTTTTCACATGTTCTCACGGAGTTCTTGCAGTTGCCACTGTTGATTGCAATGCCACTAATAGCAGTGAATTTTTCTCTGCCTTGAGGACTTAAATCCACATACCAGATCTCTAAATGATACTCTAGCTATCATGATCCCTGTGGATCTCCTGTCCTGTGTTGGTGAGAAGGGATGGGATGCTGTTAATGGAGCTTGTAGGTAGCAGCACAAGAGTGATGAGACTCATGACTTTTCTCCCTTCTTTCAAGTTGCCTGCTAATCTGCTTGGGCAAACTCAATTTGGCTACTTTCCGTGGTTTTGGTTGGAATATCATCAGAAATGGAATGTGATCTGTGCAGGCTGAAATAGTAATTCTTGCCTGAAGATTAAGAATCCTTACTTAGTTGAAAAAAATACTGATGGCTTCAAAGGATACTTGCTGTTGTATGGGAAATTTTCAAATATGCTGATCTGCAGGAATGCATATACTTCTTATGAAAAATTGGAGCATTCAGGTAAATCCTCTCCAATGAAAAACTGCTAATCTGAGGCCATGGTTCTGTGACCAGCTGAGGCAGTCTAATTCCCTGCTGCTGGGAGTGAGAGATTTCATTCCTGTCTTCCCCTGGGCAATGTGTTCCTGCCCTCTGTGCTGACCCAGCTGTGTTACTTGTTATATCCTTTTTTGAGCTTATTAACATGGCAGGAGACTATCCAACTTTTTGCCAGTCCAGCTTTTTGCAGTGTTAGGAAGTTGACGTGGCTCACAGAATTACACTAAGCGTGCATTACCCAGAGGTGAGCAGCAGGTGTGCATGGCTGGGGGAGGGGGGGGAAAGAGGAGCCCTAAGGTGTGTCCTCACTTAGTCAACCTAAGAGCTCACAGCTGCCTTCCTCTCACAGAGCTGCATCCTGACTTGTACAAGAACAGCTAGGGTATATTGGTAAAATACAGTACCTGACTGAAGTATCTGAGCTACACACAGAGGTGAACAATTCCATCTTTTTTTTTTTTACTTTCCTCCAGAATTTCTTGGTTTGTCTAAACTTGAGTGAATTTTCATAGGGACGAAAAGCTCTTCTGTCGGTGAGAAAATAGATGACTTCTTATTGAAAGGGAGAGGTCTTGTTCTTGAGGGCACTCATCTTCCTTTTGCTCTTCAGCTCTTGATTACACAGTAAGACAGCTCAACTTCTGTTGTGGTTTAACTCCAGCTGGCAACTAAGAACTTTGCAGCTGCTGTCTCACTCCCTGCTGCCCCTGGTGGGATGAGGAGAATCAGGGGAAAAAAAGTAAACACTTGTGGGTTGAAATAAGTAGAGTTTAATAATTGAAACAAAATAAAATATACTGATAATACAAATTATAATAATATCCATAATAATAACAATAATTACTTTAATGAAAAAGTGAAAGGCAGAGGGAGAGGAATAAAACCCAAGAGAAATAAGTGATGCACAGTACAGTTACTGACCACCCACTGACCGATACCCAACCTGTCCCTGAGCAGGGAGCAGTGGCTCCTGGTCAACTCCCCCCAGTTTATATACTGAGCATGATGTTCTATGATATGGAAGAGCCCTTTAGCGAGTGCAGGTCAGCTTTTCCTGGCTTCTTGTGCGTTTCCTCGCTGGCAAAGCATGGGAAACTGAAACGTCCTTGACTAGGGTAAGCACTACTTAGCCAAAACTAAAACATCAGTGTGTTATCAACATTATGCTCATACTTAATGAAAAACACAGCGCTGTAGCAGCTACTAGGAAGAAAATTAACTATCCCAGCTGAAATGAGGACAACTTACTGTGCTACTAAGAACTGCTCTTTAAAATTTTTTGGGGTAAGTCTTTTGCTGTTTTAGCCAGTTGAACTGGTTTACCATGCAAGCAGATAACTGCCAAAACCAGTGTAAGATAAACACTTGAAATACATTGGGACTGTGGGGCTAGAGTAAGGGAAGGGATTTTGAGACTAAGAGGGAAGAGTAAAAGACCTCTCCCTTTCCATAGCAGCAGGCTTCCTGTCTGTAATTAATGTGTACAGACCAAAGTAGTCGGAAACCAGAGCAGACTGAATTTCAGGTTCTTACTCAAGATTTGGTAGAGTTACTGAAAAACTTTTATAAGAAGTTAGATCTTTGTCTTCTCTTTGGAAAGAGCTTCTGTTGAAATTTAAAGTAGTGTATCAATCTGAAAAGATTGTTTA